CCTCGGTCCACCTCAGGCCCTCCACCCCACCCACCCCTACCTCCTCCCAAAGGCACCCACCCCCGAGGGGGCTTCGCTCTCCGCTTCCCCTGCCCTTCCCTTCCGCCACAGAGCGACGTCACTGTCGCGCCGGCGACGTCACCGCCGCGGCTCTGACGTCACGCCGAAGGGGGTATGACGCGGCGCGCGGAGGAACTGACCGAACCGCCGCCTCAGGCAGGTCTCTTCGGCCCGCGCGTCGGTCCTGCTCCCTCCTCCGCGTCCTCCGCCCGGCCCTGGTCTGGCCGCTCCGTTCCGTCGGCGAGGCGGCCGTCCGTCCCTCCCAAACAGCTCGGCGGCGTTGCGAGGAAGCCGCTCCGGGCCGGGCCTCGGAAGGGCGCATGCGCCGCTCGCCCGGCTAGCCAATCCGCGGAGAGGCGAGCGAAAGGCATGCTGGGAGAAGCCGGGCGAAAAGGCGGCCTGCGAGGCGGGAGTCTCGGCCGAACTCGCGTTCCCGGCATGCAGCGCGGAGGACGAGGCGATGGGGAGGAGAGCGCCCTCTACGGCGGCGGTCGCGATAGGAACTACAACTCCCGGCACGCTCTTCGGCGAGGTCTCCGGAGTTCTCCCGCAGGAGAGCAAAGCTCGTGGGTCGCCGAGGGCCCTCGAATGGCGAAGGGCTCCCAGCACCCAACGGCCGGACCAGTGGGCGTTTCGGGGGCCCTCCCAGCGGGTTTGGCTCCAGCTCCCGGGAGAGCCCAGGGCAAGGGATTCTGGGAGTCCGAGGCGCCTGGAGGGGCGGAAGCCTAGAGCCAGCCTTCGAAGGAGCACGTGACCCCCCTTTGGGCAGCCTCCTGCTTCCCAACCTGATGGGTCCCCCGAAGTGTTTTCTGGGGGTGGGGATGCCACCACCTTAGATGTATTTTATTTCTTTATTTAAGATGTTTTCTGTGTAGCCCTTCTTCAGCAATTCCTTCTTTGACCTTTCAGATCCAGATATTCAGGTTAGTGCAGATGTGTCTGCGTGAGGAACAGGCCCTCTGGGGGAGAAAGAAGCCTCTCCTTTCTCAGAAAGGGTGATTTGACCCCATTAAAAATACCTCCTTAATCAAACATGGCGCGCTGGGGGGGGGGAGCGTGTCGCAGGTTACATGGGTACAATTCAAGGGGGTTGCAATTCAAACCCCTGCCTTACAACATGGTTGCAAAGTAGCTTCCTATTGAGAACCATGTGGTGGACTGGATGCGGTGCTGGACTAGGGATTGGTGAGACCTGGGTTCAAATCCCTGTTTGGCCAAAGAAACCAACAGGTGGGGGGAATGGGAGCAGCAATGTTTGACTGCTCCCTGAAAAACTCTCTCTCTCGCGCACACACCCTTCAAAAGTTCTGCTAGGATCTGAAGTGAGCTGAAGGCATCCAAGAATACAAGGATTAGCTAGCTATTTTCTTCTCTATTTGAGAGATGCAGCGCTCTTGTGGCATCCAATTATTTCAAGAGTGCTGCAATAATCTGAACATGATAATTTTCAAGATACAAACAAGGCATGTGTGTTATTTTGGATATTAATTGTACAAGATACTGCTAGCAATATTGAGGGGGGGGAACCTTTACTTGAATCACATCTGAATTGCAGTCATTGAATGCAGAGATGTCGTTTATTAAATGTCCTTGGCATTTGTTTGTTTTTTCAACAATGAAAAGCAAATCTCTATTACAAAATACAGCTCAAGGCTTCACATCCAGCTTCATACCTATTCGAATGTCCATGTTTGAAGGCTTTGGGGACCCTGAATTCAAACGCTGGGCAAGGAGGAGAGGGAGGCGTGCAAGCTTTCCTCTTTTTTTATATATTAAGACAACTGAAGGGGCCATTTCCCATCCCAGGAATAAGTGTATCCTTTCCCATTTCCTGTTGCAGTAAACATCCCACCTTAGCCAAGTAACTGCTACCTGGTAAAGGAGTTCAACTAATCTTGTGGCTCATACAGCAGACAGAGAGAGGAACTTTATGTGTCTTTATGGCCCTGCTGCCAAGTAGGCCTGCCACACAGCATCACAGATACCTTGGAATAATTAGTTCTCACCTGCTGCCAAAACTTCCCAGACCGAATTAGACAAATATCTACGTGTATATATAATATATAAAAAATACAGAGCTTTAACTTCTTCATTTTGAAGTAAAATGTACACAATACAGTGGTGAGCAGGAGGTAATTCTGAGAAACACAGGCCACGTGACTATTTGAACTGAGAGCTGATTATGTGCCATCAGCAGCTCCTACACCATCTCCCTATGGTGTGAACTCTCTCCCCAACCCAGCCATCCAAGGAAATTGGGGAGGGGGGAGAAGTAATAATAATATGACATGAATCAAAAGGCTTCAATAAGTTTTGCAATTTTTCTTCAAGTAAAGATGCAATATAGTTCTCCCACCCCACCAGTTCAATACTTCAGTCAGTAGCAAATGTAAATGAAGCCCACCTTCAGTGGTAGCTGTGCTCTGAGTCCTTTTTTTTTTTGTCTTCTGCCTTCCCCCTTAGAACTGGAGATGGTCGGAAATGCTGACCTGGTTGAACTCTTTAAGTAATTCAAAAAGAATCCCGTGAAGGCTAGCCTAGTCTTCCCAACGTGGGGTGGAAAAGCAAAGTCCAACTTTTCCTGACTCTCTGGTACAGGAATATTCTTAACAGGAGGAAGGGAAGGAGAGAGGGAGGGAAGAGCAGCAGCAGGTCAGCCCCAATCCCTTCAAAGGGGCTGTTTAGCAAGAGGGTGTCCCCCGAAAAAACAAAACAAAAGGGCCAAAGTGGTGCTTTTGGCAGATACAGAAGAGTCTATAATAAAAATTAAGATGTGCAAAAAAATATATATTTTTTTAATTTTTAAATAGCTGAACCCAAACAACCAGGATTAGATTCCTTGGTTATAACATGTGTTGCTTTGCTTTCTTGCCCCTGGGGATGGTGGGGGACAGGGAACCATCTCTCAAGTACCCGAGCGAAGAGTCATGTTTGAGGAAAAACACCACCACAAAAAATAAAATAAAAAAGGAGGAAAACCACACACTAGAAGGTGTAACTGATTGACATCCCCCTTTCGTCCACTTCAGCACCTGCTTTTTGACACACCTGTGCAGCAGCAGAAAAAATAAAATTATCTATATACTGTGTGTAAGAGCATCTCTTCTTCATGAGAGCAAAGCGTCGCTGCCAGGTGTCGGTGAAGGTGTCGGCCGTTTCGCAGCAGGTGGAGTGGGCAGGCGCTACTGCCTTCCGCTTGGCAGAGAAGAGAGAACAGGGCCGGGGGTACGAAGGCTCTCTGCAGGGAACTTTCCAGCCAAGTGTGGGTGTTTCTTCCCCTCGTACTGAGCAGCTGCGTTATAGCTGGAAGCCTTCCATGGGGGCCTCTGGTTGCTGGAAGATGAACTGCTGCTGGTTCTCATCTACCTGGGGGGCCAAGGTGGAGTCGTCGTCCTCAATGCCAAAGTAGTGCTCGATCAGGTCAAAGGCCTTCTGGTAGATCTCTTGGTTTTCATGGCTCTGGAGAAACTCTATTTTATCCAAGCCTGGAGAAGAAACTGACAGTTAGGCCACATCGTGTTTCACCCATTCAGAAAGAGAAATCTCTCCGCCCTAAGGCTTGCCATCCATGCTTGCTCTCTTAAGGAGATGGTGGGAAATGGTTGACAGGCGTATAAGGGCCAAACAGAAGCATTTAGATCACTTGTACGTTGATGACTCGAGTGCACAGAACATGGGTTCAAGACTGGCTATGCAGGGAGTGGACACAAATGGTAGGTTTTGAAAAATAATTTTAAGGAAACTGAGAGCCAGCTTGACACAGGTGTTCTAGGAAGCAGCTCCAGGCGAAGCAAAGGGAACACAGACCAGAGGCAAAGATGCATCAGGCAATGAGCGACAGCATTTATTACAAGCAGCTGACGATCAGGACAAGCCTCCCTTCCTAAGTTGCCTCAAGGAAAGAGCTTCTCGTTGGCCGGCCCCTTCCTCTCTACTCACCATAGGCTTCCTCAATGAGGCTACAGTAGGGGTTGATGCCGGTGCTGCTCTGCTTAGCCTCCTGCTCACCGAGCCTCAAGATGTTCTCCAGGCCGTTCAGGGCCACTTGAACGATCTTGGAATCCATGACGGTCAGAAGGTCACACAGAGGCTTGATACAACCCAGGTTCACTAAGTACCTGCAAAAAGAAAGGCCCAAGTTCAGAACTCTCGAGCCTTTGGAACTCGGCCATGAGAGACCTGATTGGCTGGAACTGAGGTTAAATTTGGGGTTTGTATGTATATGTTCAGAAGTCAATATGGAGGCCCAGAGATTCAAGCTTGCTTGGGAGAGATGTCCTTTCCTACAGAGCTACAAATGAGTTGAGCCACGGTTACAGATTTGGGAACGTTCCTCTGCCCCCTGAGTTTGAAGGTGAGAAAGACGTTCAAGGGGTTCCAAAATCGATAATCCAGCAAGGCTGGAGGGCTAAAGTACTGAAGTTAGAATACTGAAGCTAGTGTGAAAAAGCTGGCTGGATAGCTCTGCGGATTAGGTCTCTGGCTTGTAGAGCCAGAGGCTGGGAATTAAATTCTCTACTGTGCTTCCAAGGACAAGAGCCAGCCTGAGCATCCTTAGGCAAGCTGCACAGTCCCAGAGCGGTCCCTCAAAAGAAGAGAATGGTAAATCACTTCTACGTAAGTTATAACTACAAGGTCCTGAGAGAAGGGTCACCATAAGTTGGAATCAACTTGATATGAACACAGTAGTTGAAACATGAGGGAAAAAAAGTTTCCTGGTTCCCAAGTCTCTGTTTCATTCTATAATCTACTATTATCCATTATTTACATCTGAATATCAAATAAAAGCATTCCTACATGAAGCCTGTAGCTATTCCCCCCTCCCCCCCTAAAAACCATGCTATTTATCAAGAGAACACAAGGAAGGTCAGGGGTAAGCAAAATGCATTCAAGTGACATCTTTGGGTTCTTTCTTACGTCCCACGGAACTGGCCAGCAAGGAGAGAGCAGCATGACTGGAAAAGAAAAGTGAGGTTGGAAGACTTTTCAAGCAGTCTTAAAAGTCTTAACCTACTTGATCTGTTCTGGAGTTCCTCCTGATGTGGCATTTGTGATGGCCCAAGCAGCTTCCTTCCTCGTGCGGAATTCAGCCTTCTGTAAGATCTCGATCAGCACAGGAAAAATATTGGCATCTATGACTGCCTGGAGGACAGAGGAAGAGTGTTACTAAGAAGCTTAGCCTCCCTGTCATTTCAAGTATTGTCTGAGTATCTGGATTCCTGAACTTCTCTTTTGTCTGGGAAGGAAGGGAGAAAGACACTGCCCTCCATGTTCACTGTCCTCCATTCAACCAGATTAATGATCAAGGAAAGAGGAAAACTACCGGTAAATCTTTGGGTGGCTTGGGAGTTGATCAGCTAGGGTTTTTTTTTACCCCAAACGATTTAACAACAACAACAACAAAAATCATTCTCCTGAGCATGCCTGTCTTGTGTATATGCTCTGGTGCTAGTACTAAAAAGGAATTCCTAGGCTGAATGTGTGCTTGGGGAAATCCTGTTCCACAATTCCAGGCTCAGTGTTTTCAAGATGCTATTTTGTGCCGTGATTCTAGTGGCCGGAGAAAAATTTCCTAGCAGAAAGTTTGTCAACTCTGAAGCAAGCCGTGGGTGCATTCCTGGACTCCTCTTCCAGTCCCACCTCCCAAACTCGTATCTTTAGGACCCCGTTTCAACCAGGGCTTGAGGACTGGTGGGCAATGTCTGAGAGCGTATGGGTCATTTCTGCACTTTGCCCACCTGCACTGTAAGAGAAAGAAGCGTCTTTACCCAAACAAAGCTTCTACTGCACAGTCAAGCCTCTGTTCGTCTCTTACTCGATGGCAGAGGAGAATCTTGGCAACTAGGCACCAGAGGACACCCTCCAACTCTCCTCAAATTCAGAAAAGGCCCTACTTGTGCTCTAGTCGCCCTCTGCTAACCGTTCCTTCCCCTCCTTTGCCAACATTCATGTTGCAACGGTGCTTGCCCAAGGTCACAACCAGGCTGACTTTGGCACTCTTAAAACTGCAAGCCTAGGACCGAAAGACGCATTATTGTTGTGTACGGTAACGCACCTGGATCTGAGCTCTGTTCCCTGCTGTGACGTTGGAGATGGTCCAGCACGCTTCTTTCCGGATCGACTCTTTGGGGCTACTGAGTAAATGAAGGAGGCAAGGCAAAGCAGAGCAATTCAGGATCACCTAAAAGGAAAGAGAAGGAATGCAGCTTGTTAAAGCAAGGGAGGTGCCTGGTGGTCCACAGAGGATGTGGTCCATCCAAAAAACAGAATCCAATCTCTCCTGGAAAGGTTCCAAGTACAAGAACTCCCCTCTCCTTAGGAGGACTCCTCGTTCAGCTCTAGTCATCCTAACTAGCAACCAATTTCCAGCCTTTGCTGCAAACTCCAACTGCAGAAAACATAGGAGTAGCCCTGAATCGTAACAAAGGTCTGCCTACTGCATTCTTCTGCTCAAACAGCAGCCAACGACCTTCAAACAGTAACAAGGCACCCTTACACCCACCCTTTCCAGAGTTTTCTAGGTATAAAGAACCCAGTAGGAGTTTTATTAGTCCCTCTTTCCACTGGCACCCTGGAAATACTCTGCTGCTTGTGCAAGGAGGCTCAGATGGCAGGGGCACCCTCATCACATCAGTCCCTCCTTCCTCCAAGTGATCTCAGCTGACTACTCTCCTAGGAGGCACAGTGGGAGGCTCACACTTCCAGGCCCCCGGGCCCTGCAGCTTGGTGTTCCTGTCCTCGGGAAAGCCCACAAACAAAAAACGTGGGTAAAAGCACATGCCCACTCATTTCCCCCCACAGTGGGTGTTCAGAGGGGCACTGCCCCTGATACGGAAGCCACTACAGAACCATCCATGGGCACAATGAAACAGCCTGACGGTGCCAACAGGTAAGTGGGCATAGCAATATCCACCTGTACCATCATCCCTGCTTCCTCTTCAGATGCTTATTCAGGGCCAGTTTCAGAACAGCTTTCAGAACTGTGCATCCCACACACCCTCCTGATGGCTAATCAGTTGCAGGTGTAACCTGGAGTGGTCAGATTGACAACCTGGCCTCCATTTAATCACCTGGGTCTGAATATCATCTCCGGTCACAATGTTGCCGACAGCTCGCAAAGCTGGGGAAGCCACTTTGTAATCGCTGTGCCTGTGAGGAGAGAGAGACAAGGCAGCCATTTCACCTTACAGAAGAACCAAGCCAGTCTTGACCACCTCTCGGGCACCTTAAACATGCCAAGCAGAATGGACCCTGCTTGCTTGCCTTGGAAAGGCTGCCTGACCAGATCATGCCTGGCATAAGAACACCATCCTCTCTGGAGGAACAAGCCGCTGCAACCATCACAAGCTGGACACTTACATCAGCAACTCCACTAGTCGCCGACACACTCCAGAGTCGATGACTGCCTGGATTTTCTCGTTGGGGCCGTCGGAAAGATAGGAAAGAGCCCAGCATGCATCCGCCAGCAGGTCAGAGTCGCTGCTGAAGAGTAAGCGGGACAGGACTGGCAAGCAGGACGACACCTACCGAAAAGCACAATCACAAGACAGGCATTAGAAAGGGCCCTAAGAAGTGGCAAGAAGGGAACGCATGGTCGAAGGCAGAACACAGAGGTGGGGAGGGCGAACAGAAAGGGCCCTAAGTGGCAAAAAGGGAATGCATGGTCAAAGGCAGAACACAGAGGTGGGGAGGGCGAAGGATAAGCTGCAGGCATCTAAGATGCATGAACTAAAAACAACATTAATGTTCTGCTTGTTTGAATTCCTCTCCCTCTAACCCATCCCAGTTTGGACTGGTTAGAAGGCATCTGTCTCTGCTAGGGCACCTGCAATGCTAATCCTGGTTTAGGGATGTTGCTCACACTCATACTGCCTCCTGGGAAACATGGCAGCATATTAAGAAGGTGCAAATAAGCTTACAGGGAACCGTTAGGGCCACAGCAAGTGGCACCAAGGTAAGGAGCGGTGAAAAGTCCGCCAAGTATTTCTTCCAGATGGTCTAATTTACTGAAGGGCCACAGCCAGTCTGCTTGGGGCTGGAGCCCTTTTATTGGGTACAATCCGGAGCATTGCAGGGATCGTTCTGTGGCCTGCGCATAAATAAAGCAGGGAGAATCAAGGAGGGGTTTCCATATCTTACCTTCTCAAATTCAGGCGGTGGGTTTTTCCCTCTGCACAAGTTTGACAAAGCCCAGACTGCATTTCGTGTCATCGTCAATCTGGTAGATTTTGTCAGGAGCCTGGAAAACAGGACCGACCCCACTCTTTCACTCCCACAATCCTCTGCCCCTTGAGCTAGAACTCTACCCCAAAATTCTGCTTTAAGGTAACAGGATTATGTTAGACTTCACTCTATCCTGGGGTGGAGCCGACTTCTGAGGTTTGGGGGACTGTTTCTGCCACACTCTAGAAATCTTCCTGATTGAATTGTGACTTGATCCAATCCCAAATACAAACGGCCCAAGCGAGACCCAATTTAGAGAAGTCGTTCGGCTTCCCTGAACTGCCACTACTCACAGCAACAATGGAGGGAGGATGCCACAGTTCAGGACGTAATCGCGACACGAAGAACTGTCTCCAGCGATGTTCCCCAGAGCCCAAACAGCCTGGAAAAGGAAGCAAGACGTCAGCACTCAAGTCCTTGAATGGAGGGGAAGGAAAGCAACACAGCAGCAAAAAGCCAACTTCTGGGCCACCCGAGTACACCATCCACTGACAGCAGCTTCCTCTCTACGTTACTTCAGTTAACCACCTCCTAGGTGTGTGCTAAGGATTTCCTGAGCAAGGGACCCTGTTCTCCATTATAGAAAGATTTCACGGAGAGGAGACTCAAGCTGAGAGTCCATCTAAATTAACAAGGTCAAATTAACTGGAGTTCACGAATTTATCCCAAGGTTTCCTGGGTGGGTCCTGAGTGCCAAGCACACCCTGAAAATTCCTCACCTGCTCCTGGACGTCTTCAAAATCAGAGCTCAACAATTCGATGAAGATTGGGACTGCTCCAGCCTCAATTACTATTTTGGTTTGTAGTGAGGTGCCCGAGGCGATGTTTGTTAACGCCCAAGCAGCTTCAAACTGAAAAGCATCAAACAAACAAGCAGTTCAAGGATGCCCCCTGCTGCCGTACACTGAGAAAATGAAGTGTGTGAGTTACAGCAGGGGCTCAGAAGCCAAACATGGCACCCAACTGACGGGTTCAAGTCATGCTTCCAGAGCATGCATTCCACCCAGCAGATGAAGGCAGAGAAGCTGGGCCCAGTACACATCCTTTGTTGCCCAAGGCTAACTAGGGCTAATAAAAAGCTCCCCGAGGAGTTATCCATCTTAGGGAAGGGACAACACAGAGTCCTCCTGTGACTGGTAGCATGCCACAGATTTGACAAGTGCCGGGCAGCTAATTCTTTAGTCTCAGGGGCAGCAGCCCCTTCTGAGTGCGATTTTGCTGCTTGCAGGTGACAGGAGGAGTAACAGAGTTCTCCTTGCAGAGAGTCCCTTTCTTTCTCCTCTCAACAATGCAGAGCCCAGAGAAAGATGCAAGGCGCAAGAGGCAGCTGTACAAATAGAAGTGCGGCTTCCATGTTGTAGCTGCCATCCTGTAGTTAGAATAGAATCCACAAAATTGTCTCTGCTTTTGCCACCCAAAGAAAGAGGAGTTCAAGCCTACTTCCCCACTTATCGCCCTGCTCAGAAAGCCTTTGCTCCAGGCACACGGCTTCACAAGAACGAGGTGCATTCTTCACAAGATGCCCTGAATATATCATTTAATGACTTTGCCATTTTGAATTATATTATCACGGTTGTTTTTATTTTATTATATTGCTTTCACTTTCATGTGTTATTGTCAGCTACCCAGAGTAGACCTTGTTCTAGATGGGTGGGATATAAATCAAACAAATAAAATAAAACAAAATATACTTGTGATCTTTGTCCTCCAGAAGGTATTTAAGGCTAGGAGATACTCTATTAGTATAGGGACCTACATGCTGCACACCATGCAATGGGCATTTATTTATTACATTTTGGGTTCTGGTTAGATACTTCTTGGTGGAAAGGAGGGGGAGGCTGCAATAGCAACCACAACCTCAAAGAACCTCATACAAAGAAACGGCAAAGTATAAAATATGTCACAAATTTCAGAGTGTGGGAACTCTGCCAGTTTGGTTTCCCAAAGCAACCCTGTTTTCTGCAGTAGTCACAATATTCCGCTCCCCTCCTCACCTGTAATGTGCTGTTTTCACTTTTTTTGAGGAACTCAACAAATCTGTCCACCACTCCCTGAGTGCTTATCACTTCATCTATCGGAGGATTGGGCTCTAAAGGGGGGGAAAATGAATGGCTGTTTTTAACAATACAAAACAACCCACATTGTTTTTTTTTTAAAAAAATATATGATATCAAACAGTCTGTGAAATCCCACATAGGCCTTAACTGGCAAGCAGTCAGAAAACTGTCCTTTTAATATTTTTCTCCATTAACACGAGGGCTAGAAATTTGCTCTTTTAGCAAATTCTCAGGGTTATACAAACTCTAAGAGTAATAACAATTGCATGCCATCAAGTTAATTCCAACTTATAGTGACCTTTTCCAGGGTTTTTTAGGTAGAGAGCATGCAGAAGTGGTTTACTATTCCCTTCTTCTGAGGTGCACCCTGGCCTTGTCTAGCTTGCCTAAGGCTACACAGGCTGGCTCTTCTTCCAGGAGCAGGGGGAGGTGGGGAGGGATGAACTCCCAGCCTCTGCAGCCAGGTACCTAACTCAGTGTTCTATCCAGCCAGCACACATATGAAAGCTGCCGCCTCCTATATACGAGACTAGTCTGTGTCTACTTCCGGTATAGGCAAAGTGCAGCCGTCTCTATGTTACTAGACTGCAATGCCCACGAGGCTTAACTTGCATAGCCAATTAGTGAGGAATGCTGGGAAGTGCAGGCCGCAGCTGGCTTAGACAAATACACCTTTAAACTAATGCAGGCAAAGGGGGGGGAGGGAGGTCAGGTCAGAAACATGATCAGAGCGTAACAGACAGAGGCATTTTCTAGAACATAATACTCAAATGCGAAGTGACTATTTCTCTACTGCAAGTAATTTTCAGCCCTCTACTGATCAGTTGTTCTCAAACTGGTTTGTAAGCCAGCAGGGTTGAGGAGTCAAGAGGCTGCACACTTCCCACAACCTGCTATATGCTGGTTTTCCAAAGTTTCTTGCAAACATATATAAAGTTTTCTGAAGTTTCTTGCAAACATTTTCAGTAGTTCATGCACTGCGAAATCCTTATATAAATTGTTATGAGGTACACTGACCAGCTATTGTTCTTCAAAAATACAGTTATTTCAAAACCTTCTACTTAAGGTTTGCTGTTGCTGCATTTACCTTTTGAAAGTAGTTTCCTGAACCTCTGTGTGGTCACAAGTTGAAGGTCGGGGTCCTCCGAGAACAGCATCTCCACCATCTCCCTTGTGATCACACCTTCCTGGAAAACAGGCACCCTTTAGTCCTATGGTCTCTCCTACAAAGCAATTGCCAAATACATCCAGGACATCCAGATTTCCCCTCAGGAATATTGTGCTCTTCGAAGCAGCAAGATTCCAAAGTAAAAATCAGAACAAAGCAGATCTAGGTCCTGGAAGAACTTTATTTATTTATTCATTTATTTTTAAACTGAGGTTTCTATCCTGCACCCCTTTTTTTGCAAGAAACCAAAACAAACCACAAAGAGGGGATGAGGTGCTTCAGAGTTTCCATCAGTTCAATCTTCTGATACTTAGAGCACAATTCAGAAAGACAGACAGACAGAAAGAAAGAAAAGGAAGAAAGAAACTGCTGCTGTTTAGTCTACTTACCCCACCTGTTGTGGAGCTGACAAAAGAGTCTACAAGGGGGCTGTCAAACATAGCAGCATCTTCATTTATTAGCTCCACATTCCGTCTTTTAAAGAGCTGAAAAGGAAAATGAATCAAGTCACAGGGCAGCCGAGGCACCTGCAAGTGTCGGCCACCCGCTGACTATCTGCAGGTCACTCAAGTCCTGTCCAGAAGTCTCTCCCAACAACATCAGGGACTGTCCCAGTGTTCTAGTTCTGAGAATGAGAAACCTGCCTTTTATTTAAATCCCACAATAGCACACTACAAGCAAAGAAAAGAGTGTGTTGAAGCCTGTCACTGGACCCCTGAGTTTTCAGAAGGCTCATCTTCTCATATAAAAGCACTTTAAAACTCAGGTAGCCTTAGGGAACAAGGGTATCCTCCACTTCCTATCCTACTAGCTAAAAGGAGAAGCCAGTGGCCTTAAGTTCAACAGTGGGTCCTGCTCATTCAAGTTCCAACCCTTTCTTCTCCATGTTGTTGTTTTTGGAAAGTGCTACCTGACAAGGTGCCAGACAGCCAGGAAGGGCGATCACAGGACATTCATTTACACAAGAGCCACAACCAGGCTCTACAGCCAAGACGCTGTTGGAGGGCAGAGAAAGAACTGGAAGTGGAACCAGTCAGCCCAAGCCCCCCGACTGGCCAGGGCTGATAGCTACGCCCCGCCCCTCTCATCCCTGCAAAAGATACCTGCTGCTCCCGCTTCTGTTTACGTAGCTGAATCCCCTCCTCTTCTCTCCGGCGGCGCATCTCCTCCGGGTTCAGCGCCTTGTTTTTGTAGCTCTTCATTCTGTAGTTATTCTCCTTCGCTGGGCTCGCCATGGTTTCTACCGAAGAGGACAGGAAAGAAGTCAAATGCCACCCCTGGCTTTGCTACCTGCTTCTAAATGTCCTTGGGCACGATGAGCAAAAAGGGCCCAAACGGGTACCAACACAATTGTGAGTGTTCTTCGAAATCTGTAGGTGGGTGGGGAAGACAATGTGCAGCAGCACATCAGTCCTTTAAGTGGGGCGGAGGGGGTCAGAAACACCTGCCCACTATCTGCACAAGGAGTCTAACACATTCTTGGACCATTTTCATGATTAATAGGAAGCATTTTATTGCCCTTATGTCAACTGAAACAAGACTGGGGGTGGGGATGGGTGGGAATGGTGCCCAGAGGAAGCTATTGTGGCCATGGCCCTCAAATGGCATCTCAACAGTGAACAAACTCAGGGACCAGTCCCCAAGGTCAGTTTTTGTGCTTCGGCATGCCATAAAGAGATCCGCAAATCATGTCCCTTACCATCAGAACGCAAGACTATCAAACTACACTTTATTCCACCACCATCCCTCAGCTCCATACACTGGAAGAAAATTCCTGCTTTAACCGCTGAGGGAGCAACTGGTTTCGTGGACCTCGCCTTGGTTCTCTTAAAGAGACGTAGTGCTGCCAGGAAATCAGTGCTGTAGTTTATCAGCAGTGCTAACAATACCATGGCCGTTTTCTGCACCTCGTTTTATTCTTTCCCACCATCAGAACCAGAAAACAGCATATGTATAACCCTGGGACTTGACTATCACACTTTACACATCTGAGGAAGTGAGCTATATCCACAAGGATTCATGGTGAATTTTTTTTTCATTTTTAAAAACATGTCATAAGCCTATTTGCTATTTTTGCAGCCAAAAACTAACACAGCTACCTCCTTGAAGAAGAAAAAAAACTTATATTCTATTAGAGGCTTTTGACTGTATTTTTGTTTTCTTGAAAAGGGTAGTCATATTAGCCTGCCGCAACAAACCCTCAACATGGTTAAGACTGATAAAATTCATTTCAGCAGAAGCTATTTTGATCTAATGCCACTTTAAGCCTCATGGTATGATGTGAGGCCCTTTTGCGGCCAGAACCCCAAATCATGTCAAATCATCCCCTCTCTCCAGTGACAAAACCCTAACACGCATTAAGCTCTGTGCAAATATTTATGATTTTCTATATATGTCACCTGGTACTAAGGTGGTATGTACCCCTTACCTAGTTAATGGGCAGGGTAAACACCATGGCTAGTAGATTTCTCACTGGCAAATTTGGCAGCCACCAACCAAAATCATGTTAAGGAACCTCTTATGTTCCCTGGAATCAGGGAATTCCTGGACACTGAAACAGCTACATTTCTGGGGACTGTCACTGACCCTAAGATGGCCGTTCTTCAGTTCAGTTTGGTACTATTTTAGTATTTGATTCAACTGCTAGCACATATCTGGACTGTGAGTTAAGCAGTATGACTCCCCTTCAAGGATTAAATGCTTCCTTGTGTAAGAATGCACATGCAGGCCATCCTGTAAAAGGACAGCAAAGAACCCAAAAGAGAAGATGAGTAGCTGCTCCATGCTATGTGAGAAAAGATAGGATATTAGTCATAAATCATCAGAGTGACAAGCAATCTGCCTGGCTGCTGGTCCTCAGAGCCCATGTCTGTTTAAAAACCAACCATGTCTTGGAGAGACCTCTAGAAGCTCTGCACCTAGACCATAAGCCCAAGAGGACTTCTTCCACACCAGAGAGGGGTTGCCATAAAACCCCAAGTGACTTGCCACTCTGCACTCCCTTATATGCAGACCATGGAAAGGGAACCAGGTTTAAGAAGCATTCTGAGATGAGCTACACGGGATGACTGGAAGGGATAGCCAACGGAAACCTGAAAAGACATTCTCACCGAGTACAAGTAGAGTCACTGACTGCTTATTCAATACTGAACTTTCAACCAGAACTGGCCCTCAGGCTTGCCTTTCTATCCTCAGCCATGATATCACCACGAGGGATTCACAGAAACAGCACCCGATCCCCACATTAACAAGACGTGTCATAAACAGTGACTTATGACTTCACTGTAAGATGCTAGTCAAGTAAACTAAGAGACAAGTAGAATAGTGAAGATTTGTCTGCAGAGCCAAAAGGTCTTTTAAATCAAGTCCCAGACTTTGTTCTCATCTCTCACCCAAATTTAAGGCCTTCCAAATGTATTTGCCCATATCTTGATCCCCTTTCCTATATTTATGCCCATCAAACTTTTTGTCTTTACGGAGTGGGAAAAACACATCCCTTCAGCTCTTGGAACATAGGTTTACAGCAGAATTGGGAACCTTTGCTTTTTGGAATAAAACTCCCCAAATTCAAATTTAAGAGTGTGATCTGGTTGCGTCTCTAGTTCATAGCTTTCCTCATCTCTTTTTTTAAAAATGTCTTAATGTAAATAAGCAGCTCCCGCTGTTCAAATGGGACATCACTTTTATGAAAGCCGACCCTGGGAGTGCCTTGGACAGGGATCTGAAGTCCAGCCATGGACTTTCAGTTTGGCTTTCTCTCCTCACCCTGCACATCACCTCCCCTGCTACTAACATCTGCTGAGTAATGGGCAGAAATCCGCATGCCTAAAAGCAGGACTCGCCCTGCTGAGTCAGAAGCAAAAGCAGACAAGGTTGCCATTATCCAAATGGACCGGATAAATGCAGCAGTGTTTTAATCCCAAGCCCCATCAGACAAAAGGGAGGCCCAGCCGTCAGCTTTGGCGGAAAGCGGTAGGGAGGCAACTGTGTGTTCATTCAGGCTGGGAAGCTCAGGGATCGTATGCCAGGGAATTTGTTGCTGCTGTTATATATGAGATGCTTCAAACATGTTCTTTATGTGTTCTCATGTGGTGCTCTGAAACAATGGATGGTAATCTACAAAAACTCACACTTGAATGAATGTGTTAAATCATTTAAGGTGCCTCAAAACTTTTCTCCTTGTTTTTGTTTCATTGTTGTTGGCACAGAGCACCAAAATACCTCTGTGAAAACAGACAACTCACTAAAATTAGGACTCATTGGGCCAGTATGAAGCCCAGATAGGTACACACCCAACACAGCACAAGATAAACCGCATGGCCTCAAACAGGCCAATTAAAAGTAAGAACTCCAACCACCACTAAAGGCACAGGGCTAAAACAACAAGAGGAAGGAGAGATGAAAACAGGTGGTGGGAAAACAACAACTTTTGCTCCCAGCGAATCTTCCTAGCCACCACTGAAAAGGCCCTCTTGTGGGCTTCCAGCCAGAAAAGCCGTTCAGGGAGACGGCTAGTACAGACGTCCCACGAGCCCAGCTGCCATCAGGAGCCCGTGAGATTCAGAGGCAACCAGTTAAGGGTCAAGCACTTGTGCGTGTTTGGTAAAAAGAGGCTATTCTCGGTGGCATTCCTAAAGACTAGCAAGGTCAGGCACAGAACCGGCACATCCTGTTCTTTTAAGTCACAGCAGCACTGAAGGCTCACAACACACCAGTATCGAGCACACAGGCTCCTAGTGAAACAACAAGATCTTACGAGCCACACATTTATGACCAGAGGCAACCCTATAACATGCCAGTAAATTTATAAAAATGCCCACCATCTCCACACGCCGACCACCACCACCACCACCACCACTGTAGACTACAAACTGGGGCCACAAACGCGGGCAAAGGGGCAACAGCATCATCATGATTGTGACTGGCAAACAGGGCTCTCATTCCTTTCACCTTCCAAGGCACCAGAAATTTCACAAGAGGATTTTCCAGCACTCTAGATAAGGCATTGAGGGTGCTTGGCAGGCTTTGGGAGGGATGACAGCTGATTCTGATCGCAGCAGCACAATCCAGGCCTCACTGTGCAAACTCCCGATTTAGCTTTCTGCTTCCATTCAGAGCAGCTGTATCTACTTGCTCAAAACCAACACAAATGCCATCTTCAGAGAAGCTCCCTGACCAAGTTCTGTACCAATGCCCCACTCCTGTGAGACTGCCTGACAAGTTACATCGGGCCAGCTGACTACACAATATGGAGTGATCTCTCAGCATGACTGCAAAGGGAAGCACAAAACAAGGCATCTGGCAGCAGACATCACCTGCCAACGTCAGCAGCAAAATGTGTAGGCTCTTCCGCTGAAGTCAAGGATTCACCAGGGCTATCCTGTGAGGTTTTATTCTATGCCAAGCATGCAGCAGTGACTAAGTACTGCTAGATTCTTTCCACTTGCTCATTTCTCTGGCTGATGAACAACTGAAGCTCCATCTAGATTTCCCTTCTACTCTCATTCTCAGTGTGGGGAGGCTGCCACACTTTCCACACAGAGGGATACAAGTCCTTTCAGACCTTCAGCGGACCCGCACAGAAGCCAGGAAGAAGCAGTGGGTGCGATGCTGCTCTCCCATCACCAGTGTGAATGTCTCTCAGATTCTTTCTGCTTGCTCATTTCTCTGACTAGCAAAAAAAAACCTTAAAGCTGTGTCCACATCTTCCCAGAAAGACCCACTTCTAAAAAGTATTTCCCTTTTATTTGCATTCTGGATGTGGGGAGAAGGACCTTTGCTGAAGGAGCACGGCATTGCTACGGTGAGTCATTCCTCCCTCCCAAATACAGATCAGCCAGGTATCAAAAAACAAGCAAGTATCAAGAAGCCCAAATATTATTTATGGGGCATGGAATAGCACTGAAGCATGAAAGAAAGGGTTATACATACTGGATGTCAGAGGACAGGGAGCGTAACTGCTTGTGCAATGCAAAGAGCTGTGTGCCACTGACCTAATAGGCTCTCTTCAGCTGATCACCTCTTCCAATTAAAGTGAGGGTGCATCTCTGTTTTCACAGCAAGAGTGGGCATCTTGCAGACTTCAGGTGGCCTCTGGGGCTAGTCCAGCTCCCAAATAGCTATCCTATTATACCCACCAAAGATGCTTTCTGAATTCTAACCCTAACCCCCACCCCCAGAACGAAGGCCCCGTTTCACTTCTCAAAAGCCTCCAGGATTTTTGTTTTGGGGGGGGGGGTAATCTCCCAAAATGCCCTCAATTCTTTAAAAAAATTAAAAAATACTGGAAACACCAATCTTTACCTGGGATGGGAGCAGAATGGCTGAGACAATATTTCTAGACCTGGTGCATTCTGTGACAAGGGCAGGAGCGGGAGGGGGGGGCAGCAAAAATAAGCCCTGGAATTGCCCAGCCATGCTTTAGGCCAGACAAAGAAAATATTTTCCAATGGATTTACCCTCTAAAAGAGGCAGAAAGCCCTGCATGTTTTATAGGCAAACTGAAAGCTACCATTTGGTGTGTATCTCAAGTCTCTAGAGCGAATTAGAGGCTAATAAGGCGAGAATGTAGGGCCCTGTTTTGAGAGCAAAAAGCTAGAGGGTGAGCCTTCATAAACATTTAAACTGCCCCCCTCCTGGCCATCACTGCCCCTTTAGGCTTTTTACACAGCCTTTGCATCCCTCCAGCAATATGCATTCTGCTGAAAAGAACCAGTGATCAGCTCTGCTCATACAGCCAGGACTTTGCCCAGAATCTGTTTTCAATGTCCTAGATAGAACACAGGAAGCCACACCCGATATCCAGAAGGCCTCAAACAAACCCTTGTCGTCAGACCTTACTCTAGGAAAGAAACAAAACCAACATACCAGATGAAGCAGGACCATGCAAATGGAGAGAGTTAATAAAAGTTCGTTAAAAACATCAGTGGCCAAAGAGAAGCCCCAAGTCACATATAGCCCCAGAAGGCTGTTTTTTAAGCCCTGGGATGCCCTCCTATGCAAAACTTGCAAAAATAAAATAAAACAAAATTCATTTTCTGCTCCTAGAATATTCCACGACTGGCAGCTTTTCAATGAAACAGGGTGCAGGGCTACTCATTTCTTCCAAAGTCCAAATCCACAAAACCAGAAGTGGGCTTCCATCAACATTTGCTGGGCTGTGACAGCTCAGTGCTGAGTCCTGGAGTGGAAAATCAGTCCCTGGACACGTCAAAGTGGCTCATCTCAAATTTAAACACTTGCCAAGTAATGGTCTTGGAAATAAATACACATCCTTATCCCCGTGACTTTTCCCCCTCCGAATATTCTTTTAAAACACATTTGCACTTTTTACATGCAGTTATATTCTCTTGTGTGAAGAATTTTAACTTGAGTATCCAAAATTCTGACAAGACACCTCAGGTCAGGAGTACCTCTAAATGTGGGTCTAAATGGGACCGTACCAAGACAGGAAGCTGCTCTCATGGTAAGATGGATCATGAGAGCCAAGAGCTTTGAGCACAGAATATTCTGTGCTGGCAAAACCTTTCTCCGAATAGCCTGGCTAGTGCGGTGGTCAGTCACGGATGGCTCCCGCCCATCTCACGGGCTCACAAAAGCTAGCAGCTACTGAGCACCCAGCGAATGTTCCGCTTTGCTGACCAAGCTGGCTTGCACATAAGGGAGGAAGGAAAAGCACTCTGAGATCTAGGACACCCCCCACCTCCCACTGAACATGTTCCTTTCATACCAATACCCTGACATAAGGGCAACTGGCAAATGCACGAGTCTTACTTCTCCGCCTCTCACCCTGGCAAGCAAGAAAGGGAACTTAGACAAGGCCATCAATCCCGACACCACCCAGAACAATCTGCAAAACAGCCATGTTAAAAATCTCTTAGGCACCACGTCCAGAGGCTAGTTACTGAGATCCCTGGAAAACATTTCTCCTGCTCCCCCCTGTCACTCAGCCTAAGTGGAGTTTTGACAAGATAAACACTTCCACCTTATCTCATAAAACCACCATCTGTGTTTTGACAACTGTGTTATAATGGGGAAAGTTGAAGTCTGGGTACTGTGGTTTCTAGGGATTCAGTCCCAATGCAGTTTGACTGAAACCTCCTTTGTCCAGCTGCATGCAACTCTTTGGAATGGCAATCAGTGTTAAACAAAGATAGCTCACCTCGCAGAGGTATCCAATGCTGAAATGCCCTCCCAATCTTTTTCATGG